AAAAGAAATGGCTAGGCTCAAGTGACAAAATGGACAACAATTTATCAAATGTCTTTGAATCCCAGAACTAAACTACCTTCAGGTCTATAGGTTTACTGTTATCAATAATTCAGAGGATGTCTATCAAACAATAACAATACCGTACAAAAGTGCATAGAATACACACAGCAAAGACTTGATAAAATTAAATGAAACAAGCATAGTTCAAATGGAAACATTAAAACCATGATAAATCAGACTTAACACTCAGATGATATAAAAGGGGAAATATTTACCAACCTTGTCATACATAAACTGCTTGTGTGCTTCGTCTCGCTGCAATGGTGTCATACCCGCATGGTACTTTACACATTTTACACCCAAACCTGCAGAAAAAATCTATACTGACATATCTTTTCAACAAGGTAAGAAAAAAAAAAAAATTTAATGTAGAAAAAGTCCTGAAAGTTAATGTAAGCAAGAGAAGCATAAAGAACAAAAGATATGAGAGAGAGAGATGAGAGGGAGAGAGGAGAGAGAGGGAGAGGGAGGGAGAGGGAGAGGGTAAATGGGTTAATACTCACATTCATAATTTCATTCAAAGTAGGACGGTTCACTTTATAATGCAAAACATTCAGTCTGAAGGACTCTAAAACTATTTGAAAGTATGAAACATAATAACAACTACATACATCTGTACTTTTAGGCTAGAAAAATTAATGCAAAATAAAATCCCTAATCATTGACAATTCCAAAATATGAAACACAAAAACAAAATATACATAAAAAATATAAAAAAAATAAACATAAAAGACACACAGACCTGCCAAAGCCTGATACACCTCTTCAGTACTTTTCTTAGTGGGACAGTACACAATGGTAGGTCCATCTGTGGTGTATCTCCCATAACTTTCTTTGACCAAGAAGGGAGTTAAGTTCTCCACAATACCCTTCACTTTGTTCTTCACCTCCAGATAAAGGTTCGGCCTATCGAAACTGGTGATGGTAATCTCTGGTGACCTATGAAAAAATGAGAAATATATAACACAGTTAATATGGGCTGATTGTCAAAAAAAATAAAGTCTGCTATTGTCTGATTTATTTCATCTAGTCTTAACCACTACCCCACCTCTTCCCGCTTTCTCTCTCTCCTCACTTCAGCAATTTAAAGCTAGTTTCGTAGCGTTGTTTGTTGGTTCCTTGGTTAGCAGGATAACTCAAAAAGTCAAGAACAGAATTTTATGAAATTATTACCAAAGGTGTGTCTTAGCCAAACTTGGATGTCATTTAAATTTGGTGGTGATCCATATCATGATCCAGGATTTTTTAAATTACTGCATCAGTAACCCCCTACTGCCTTAGCAATAGGGGAAACTATCATTACTATCATCACCTTTATTACCTCCACCAAGGTGGTTATGTTTACAGATGTCACCAGTATACTTGAGAAAGAGATGATTTTAATGTAATTCTTCATGTGTGAATATATTTATTTCATCAGTGACCCTATTGCCTTGTTGGAGATATGCACTCTCTGAATGCTTCTAGGTATCAATATCACTGTGACTGTAATAATGGGGCCAGCCCAGTGTGCCGATTTTGTAGCCGCCTGGAAACTAATATTTTTGGCTTCAAAATATACCGGCGTTAGTGGGTTAATAGCATATCACACTCAATCCTAATCAATCAACATAATACTCTCTCAAACTCTACACCTTCAAATTAGCACACCTACCTTAGGCCAAGAGACGTGCAGATGTCCTCCCGCACCGTCTTAGTAGCTGTGGCAGTGACAGCTAAAATGGGAATCTTCGGAAAATCCGTCCTGAGAACTCCCAGTCGCCTGAAACATAACATTTTATATTTATATGCGAAGTATACATAGCTGCCATTGTTCATTGTTCAGGGTGACAATAGCAATAGATTTTGGTGGTGACTGTTATATCCTTAGTCTGAATAATGCTTTCACTAATTATTTTTCACATTACACACTTAGGCCTACCTGTCTTTACTAAATAAATGTTTGATCAATGTGTGCATGATTAAACTACAATCATTATGATTATTGTAAAAACATCATATTAGCAGCAGCAAACTTCCCATCATTCACAAATCCAAAACATTTTTAAAAATGTGAAAATTGGATAAAACAACATCATTAGTCAATTATAATGATAACAGTATTAATAGGAATAAATCATTTCAGAAGGCAAGATAAGTAACCATCATTTTAGCATTCTTACCATCTCCAAAATAATTTTTTGCCTTGTGACAAAACATAATTTTGTATGATACAAAACAAAACATACAAAATGAGGACAACCTCAGACAGACTACAACACTGGCACCACATATTTATGCTAAACCAACCTGTACGTATGCCTGAAGTCATGTCCCCATTGGCTTACACAGTGAGCCTCATCCACAGCAAACAGTGATATTCCAACTCTCTTATTGAGTGTCTTCAACACATCAGGACAGGCTGGAAGAAAAGGAAATGGAGTTCATAAAGCTAATACTCTCTGAAGAAACGAGTCATTCAGTTATAAATGCAATTAGTAACCATGCACTTAGAATTTTGAATATCCTACTGATGCTGCCAAAAATGTATATATAAGAACCTACAATTTCCTATCCTCTTTTATTCAAAACTCTCTGCAATAAAAATCATAAATCTAAACTCAATTCAATTATTCAAGACGACCCTTAAAGTATTATCTACCAAAAACATGTATTCAATTTACAAGCACTACTACTAAATAATATGAATTATACTCTAATATTTCATAAGGAATTGGAAAATCTGTCAAGACTTTAAATAGTCTACATATACAATTAGTTATTTGAGTAACTCTACTAACAGATTGTATACTGATAGTGCATTCAATTAATTTATTTACCATCGATAAATTCTGGAGTGACGTATACAATTCTGTACATCCCTGCAAACATCTCTGTGTACACTTCAGACTTATTTTTCTGAGCACTCCCTAAGTAGCATGCTCCTATGTTAGAGGCCTGCAAAACGAAACAATTAGAAGCTTTTTTACGTATAAGGATGCACATCAAATAAATTATTCACAAGCACACAGCACTTCAATCTTTCACTTTGAAAAGCACTGACTATTGTATCAGGCATAAAGACAAATATTTTTTGTTGTTATTGTTTTTTAGCTTCTTAAAATTAATGCTCTTCCTGGTAAAAAGGAAATTTGCCCAACTAATTTTCTACAAATCAATCCACTACAGACTCAATCTCAAACATTTCTATATAAAATGAAACCATAACTACCAAGCTTTGTAACATTTTACACAAGAAACTTGTGTCATACAAAAAACTATTCACTCACCTGAAGAGCTAGTACTTGGTCCTGCATAAGGGAGATCAAAGGTGAGACGACCACTGCCACACCCCCTGTGTACACTGGCGGGAACTGGAAACACAAGCTCTTTCCGTAGCCTGTTGCCATCACTACACAGTTGTCAAGACCCTTGAGAAGAAAGAAAGTTTTGATATATGTAGTAAGGGTTATGGAATTCATTGTACAGTACCTGACTATAGCTAACATAAAAAAACTTATCTATTTCTTAGTCTTCTAACCACATTCAAAGAAACTTAAAAAAAACACTGATTTACAAATTATAATCTTTTAAATTTTGTAATCGACCACATTAACATAAATCTATAAAACAATAAATGAAGTACAAAATCTATATGTAAATAAATATTAAATAAACACATAAGCAAATAAACAAACACACAAAAAATACACACCAAAATAAGCTGGTAAGGAAATCTCTACAGATAGAAAAATATACATTAATATATTCAAAACCAAAGCAGACAAAAAAATATGCTTAAAAATTCAAAAAACTGCACAAAAACTAACTTGCAACACAGCATGTATGATCTTCCACTGCATTGGCCTAAAGGATGCGTGGCCAAAGGCCTTCTGAAGCATTTCCAAGTGGTGCTTGGAAGGAGGAGGGATTCCCGAGGGTAGTGTCTCCTCCTCGTATACTGTCGTACAGTCCTGAAAAGAAAGAGGATTCAAGACGTCACAACATAATCAGAATCATTCGCTACTGTTGAATGAAGGATCTGAGAGAAATGGTGATAGAAGAAAAGGATTCATTTCTACATCTCTTCTATTTTCACTTAATATTCTATATCTCTCTTTTCTTTGGCCTTATTTAAATCCACAATTCTCCTCTTCCATACAAATTTGAAAATAAAATATCAACTGCTTTTGCTCATGAACTTCTCATAGCTTCCAAAAGAGAGGTAAAATAAGAGGAAATATGAAATACCACTATATCATCCAACCAAGTGAGATTAGGTCATTCTTACTCAATTCTTCATAAAATCTCATCATCGCCTTACCAGTGCTGACCCTTTCTTGTCATCCATTCCTTCAAAGTCATCATCAGGAAACTGATCAGGAAACTCATCATCAGGAAAGTCATCATCAGGAAAATCATCATCAGGAAAGTCATCCTTGTGGTCATCTTCTCCTCCTTCATCCCATCCTTCAGGCAGGTCCTCCTCAAAGCTGTCATCCATCATGGCCTGCATGGCAGCCTCCACTTCTTCCTTGTCTGCTTCTGTTGTCATCTTTTCAATATCTGAAATAAGGATGCTGATTTTTTATTTTCATTTTCTTCCTTGTTTGGACAAGAATTTTATTATATTTTTGATTTTTTTTTTTACTGTCTTTTCTGTTCTGTTTGACCTTTAGAAAGAGTCATCACCTGTTTACTAACTGCATATTGTTGGCGTATTATTTTTTTTTTAATATAAATATTCCTTAACTGTTTGTTTTGTCTGTTATTTTGTTATACCGTATATATACATGACAATGTTGTATAAAAATAGACATATTTCTTGTAAGTCATTACCTATCTGTACAACTTTTTAGGAAAATAGAAACACCTACAAAATCATTCTTTTCATGGTTACATCAGTTTACATATCATAACAATGAAATCACTTCCATAATTCTAAACATAATGACTATATCTCTGGTGGTGAGTACCTTGACAAACATGCATTTGGGCTTAGTCAGTTATGGAAAGATTGGAGGCATACTCTCAACATGGGGTTCACCTTATTAAAAATATATATATAAATAAATAATAATAACCAAATCTAATCTAACCCTGAAAAAGATCAAGTAAACTGGTTTTAATTTTCCTTGACTAAATTTACATTATATTATAGTCACCTTTTCTATCTAGTAATTAAGTTGATATAATAATTATTACTCCTCTTATCAACTGAAAGTATCGTTGGAGTAACAATCTCTAAATGAAGCTCACAGACTTAAGTCATGTAGACAAGTTGGTAATTTTATGCAAGTCGAGTATTGCTTTTGGCTTTCACCTTTAGTATCTCATGTTCAAGAACAGTTGTACCGCTAACATTTCTATTCTGGCAAGACAGGTCAAATCCCTCGCAGCTCATCAAATAAGGAACCAGTCCTAGCGTTATTTTACTGATAATAAACGGAGGATGGATAGTTGGTCTTTACCAGAGCAAAAACACATAAGCAACACAATAACTTCCTGTAGTCCTACTCTAAACAACAACCCGGATAATCTTAATGTATGGACACACTACGGTAGGGGAAATTGAAGATGTTATTCTTGTAAAGGACAAAAAGTTGTAGTCATTGGTACTGGAAATAATTTGCGTACACGAACGATAATGACACATAAAGGAAAGATATTATGGAGAGTGCCACTTCCAGCCAAAGTCCACTGGGTCCTCCCAAGCTTTAGCTCTATTTTGCCATGCATACGAACTGAAGACAATGTTTCTCATTATATGTTAGAGGAGATAGCCCCCATCAACCCTCCCCTCAGGCCATGCCCAAAGGACAAACCCAATCACTGCAAATTAGGTAACTACCCATCATTAATCTTTTTGAGGATGAAAAATTAAATATTTGAAATGTGACAGCCTTTACAAAAGAGACATTCTGACTTAAAAGAATTCGGCTATCAAGTGACAGATACAGAACAAATGACAATGACAGTACAAGCTCGAACATGGTTAAGGACAATTACCCATTATCCTGACGATACTTAACACATAAGTCTACATCAAACACGAAACTAATAATCATTAAACAACCAAAACTCCTGGCGGCCGCACCTGTCAAAGCCTTAGAGCTACAAAATTACAAAACAAATCAAGAACTCAACATAAACAAACCCTCGAGAACATGTTTCAACCTGTCTGGTGTTCTATACTTTATATTTCACCATTTCTTACCTTTGACGTATTACTTCACATAAAATTCGTGTAGCTTTCTTCAACTGGTTGTAAAATCTGGGCGCTTCAACTCTTTAACTGCAAAACAACCAGTATTTCACGTCCATTTTTTTCTTCTTCTTCTTCTTCTTTCTTCTTTTATAGGGTTTTAGACTTTTGCATAGTCTATATCCCCTGGATTTTTTTCTTTTCTATTCTTTCTTTTATATGATCTCTGTTAGTTTGGTTTTTCTTAAAAAGATTTTGGTGTGTCTAAGAGTATAAAACTTTTCTGTTGGGGAGAGATCTGCACCTGTGAATAATAAGTTTATGTTAGGGTTGATTACTTTGATTTTTCTTAAGGCTTCTTTCAATTTTGTTCTGCTGGAGTGGAATCTTGGACAGTGTAGGATTAAGTGTTCTATATCTTCTTCTTGATTATGACACCATCTACAGTAAGGGTCATTTGTTATTTTCATTCTATGTAGGTGTTTATTTAGTCTTGTGTGCTTAGTTATTATTCTAGTTATGCAGACATCTAATTTTCTATTTTTGGATCTTAACCATGGCTGCGGTTCTGTGTTCTGCAATAGATAATTCTTTGTGTTAAGAATTGTATTTAACTGAGTTTTCCAGTTTCTCTGGTTTTTTTTTTCATCTGTTTTATCTGTTTTTTTTGTGTCTTCATGTATGGTTATGGGATATCTTATTTTGTGTGCTTTTTTAGCTGCTTGATCTACTATTTCATTTCCCTTTATGTTTTTATGTGAAGGTATCCACTGTAACATTATTATTTGATTTTGATTTACCATTGTATATATCAATTCTTGTATTTCAAAAGTCATACTTTTAGAATTCTTAGGTTTCGGGTTAGATATTAGTTGAAGTGCAGATTTAGAATCTGTAAATAGTACTGATTTTGATAATTTGTTATTTTGTATGTATTTTAGCCCTTGTTTTATTGCAAAGAGTTCTGCTTCTATTATTTCTGTATTGTTTGGTAGTTTCCATATTGTTGTTATATTGTTATCTTGTATGTATATTGCTGCTGATGTGGAATCGTTGTTTATTTTCGAGCCATCTGTGAATAATTTTTTATAATTTCGATATCGTGTGTTTTCTAACATTATATATTGTGCTCTTATTATTTGTTCTGGGATATTTTTTGTTTGCTCATCTAAGAATTTTGTTTCTATATTTTTTGTAATATCAAACCAAGGTGGAATAGGGGTTATGTTTGACATTGTTTTTATTTATTTTCACTTGCAATTCTTTGTTTGTTTCTATTATTCTATGGATTAAGTTATTTTTATCCTTTTGAGGGTTATATTCTTTTATATTTTCTGTTAACATTTTTTTTATTTGTGTATTTTTTTTTTTCTAGTATTTTTAACATTTGGGTGAATTCTTTTTCTTTTAGTTTATTTTTGATCGACATTTTATTTGTTAGGGCATAGAGTGCATTTATTGGAGTGGTCTTTAAACATCCAGTGGCTATTCTCAAAGCTCCATTTTGAACTGTTTCAATTTTTTTTATTTCTGTGTCATTTTGCTGTTCCATAAATTGTTATACCATATTCTATTTTTGGTTTTATGTAGATATCATAGAATTTTATCATTGTCTCTCTGTTTGCTCCCCATGTTGTTGTTGATAATTTTTTCATTATGTTTATTCTATTTGTACATCTAATTTTCAAGTTATTAATATGGTTTTTCCACTTTAGTTTGGTGCGTCGAATTCGAGTCCTAGGATTGTATGTTTATTTGTGAATTTTAGTTCTTCATTATTTATTTTTATTATTGGTATTTGTCTTATTCTTTTTTTTGTAAAGCACATTACTTTGCTTTTAGTTAAATTTAATTTAAGCTCCCAGTCGTTAGCCCATTTTACTATTTTATTTAATCCTACTTCTAGATTGATTTTTGCTTCTTCTAGATTTTCATTTATTGTTATTATATTTATGTCATCTGCATATATTATTTTGTTGGTTTTTACTGTTAGATTTAGATCTGACATCATTATGTTGAATAGTAATGGACTTAATGGAGATCCTTGTGGAAGTCCTTTACTTATTCCTCCTTCCTCGGATTTTTGGTTTCCTATTATTATTTGGTAGGATCTATTATTTAAAAAATTAGATATCCATCTGAGAGGAGTACCCGTTATACCTAGTTTAGCTGCTTTTATTATTATTGCATCATGGTTTACTTTGTCAAAAGCTTTTTCTAAATCTAGAGATGCTATTAGGGCATATTTTTTCTCTTTATAAGCTTTTTTAATATGAAAATCGATTATTTGTAATGTATCTATTGTTGAGCTATTGGGTCTGAAACCTGTTATGTCTTGACTTAGTTTGTTATTTTTTTCAAGCCACCATATTAGTCTATTGTTGATTATGCTTTCCAGCATTTTCCCTATACATGAGATTCTTATGAATCTATATGATTTTTTATTTGCTGGATCTTTATCCGGTTTTAATATCGGATTTACAAGTGATTTCTTGAATTCTATAGGATATTCTCCTTTTATCCACAACTGATTATAGATGTTTAAAATTTTTTCCAGTAGGTTATTTGGGATATTTTTATAAAATTCATAAGGGATACTGTCTGGGCCACAAGCTTTATTATTTTTTGTCTTTTTTATTACAGAAATTAATTCTTTTAATGTTATCTCCTTTTTTAATCCGTTCGTACTTGGCAATTCTATTAAACTTTTAAATTCTGATTTTGTTATTAAGCATTTTGTTTTTTGTTTTATTATACTTTGGAATTCTTCTTTTAAGAGTTTTAATTTCTTTTTTGTTTCTTGTATTGGCTGATCATTATCTATTAGCGGGTAATTATTTATTCTATTACTGCCTGAAAGTTTCTTAATAAAATTCCATATTTTTTTGGTTGGGGTTCTAAAATCTAATGAGTGGCAGAAATTTGACCAACTTGTTCTTTTTTCCTTTTCTATTGTATCTCTTGCTATTATTTGAAGTTTTTTGTATTCTATTCTGTTTTTTTCATTAGGATTTTTTCTCCATTTATTGAATGATTTGTTTCTTTGTTTTATTACTTCTTTACATTTTTATTCCACCATGGTTTTGTTGGTTTATTTTTACTATTATCATTATTTAATCTGAAATGTTTCATCCCTATGTTTTTTATTATTTCTGTTATTTCGTTCAGTGATTTTATATTGTCCACATCTATTTTTTGTATTTCTTCTTTAAATTTTATCCATCCTTCTTCATTGAATTTCCATTTTTCCTCTTTAACTATTGTTTCTCTATTGTGATTAATGTCTCTTATTATGATTGGAAGGTGATCGCTTCCTCCATATATTTTTGCTTCTACTTCTAATTTACTCAGTTCTGGGGTGCCCAGAACTAGGTCTATTGTAGACCCTTTACCTGTTTTCGGATCTATTCTAGTAATTTGTCCTTTTGGAGTTAACATCAGTATGTTATTTTGATTTATTAAATTAAACAAGTTTATTCCAGTGATATTTGTTATATTTTGGTTTGTTTTTGAATTCCATAGCGGATGATGGGCATTAAAATCTCCTATTATGAGTTTTGGTTTTTCTATTTGGTTTATGTAGTGTTCCATATCTTTTTGATTTACTTTGTTACATGGGTTGTATATTAAAAGTAAGTGTAGCCATCCTCTTTTATAGCTAATCTTTATAGCTAATGTTTCGATGTTTTTATTTTGTAATTCATTTAGATTAATCTTCTTGTATTGTATATCATTTTTTATACAAATTGCTAAGCC